TCTACGCCTAACACTGTTTGGATCAAAACACACAATATTCAACCAAGGGTGGAGATAAACACACCAGAAAAATGGAAAAGATCGCTCATTCTGATTCTAACCAGGATAAGAAAAGGACTTCAGGTATACCCCGGACTTAAATTATTTAGACAGACGGACTTTTAGTTAGTTAATCTTAGTTATTAGTTGAGTTACCTAGAGTGTAGGGTAGATAGAAATCTCTAGTCTAATTCATCCTAAAACAAGAAAGTGAAAACTTTTGTTCATATTATTATTAAATAGTTTTGAGTTCGAAAGAATTAGAAACTTAAAATTTCACTTGGGTTACTCCAAATCCCTGTGAATAATTATATATAATAATTAGTTTGAGTTAGTTAGAATTAGAACTAAAGATCATTTGGGTTTCTCAACCCCTGTGATCAATTTTATATAAATTTGTTAGTTTTGAGTTCGAAAGAATTAAAAACAACAAAACTTCGTTAATTTTAAGTTTGAAAGAATTAGAAATAAACGAATAGACTGAGTTCCAAGGAATTTAGTCTCATTAATGTAAAGTCCTGAGTTCAATTGAATTAAGGACTGAAAAAGTAAAATTTAAACCCTCTGAAATATTCTCTTAAAACTATTCTTAAGGCAGTGTGGAAAGGTTAAAACTTAATTAATCTTTAACAATGCCTGGAGATGAGAATAATCCTAATCTTCAGCCTGCTGGAGCCTCCGCTGGGACGGGAGAAAATATTATCCCTCAGGCGCCGGGAGTACAGCAGGCTGGAGGAGGAGTTCCAGACCCCACTCTGCAGGCAGTAGCTGTATTGAAAGGAATCAGTTTCAGTTTTCCTTTCAATAAGACCCAGACAACAAGTTTTGTCAATGGGTAGACTTGTGAATATAATGGGCAAGGTTTCTTTATAGATATTTATTTTCAACCTTCTCATTCACACTAAACACTTGTCAAACATCACATAACTGAAATATACAAAATAGTTAAGATATATAACTTGATAAATATGCATACACTTATGCATACAATCTAAAGGTTATTTAAGGTTTACAAACTATTACCTTTTATATTGATAAATTCATCTTGAAAACCGTCTCCACACCTCTGTAGAGGTGCAGAGTTTAAGTGAAACTACCTGCTTTGGATTGTAAGATAGACAAACAGTAATGTCGTCTTTTATAAATATATCAAAGCTAAACAGTAGCTAACCTCCAAACGGTGTATAATGTGAATGGAGGACCTCCTGCAGAGAGAGGAAATGGGAAGAGTGGAGCAGAGTATATGAACAGAGGGTTCAGATTGGAGGTAGCAGACACACCTCTGGTCAGAACCCCCGGGATTCTCCTGCTCCTCCTCCTAATCCATCACAGAATGACCCTCCAGTCGCTGACATGGCGTCGAAGGAAGGGAAGTTCTCCGTGCTGGACAGGCTGGAACCCCTAGGAACAGAAGAGGAAGACCGTTACGTACCCGACCCAAACGAAGTCTTGTTCAGCAAAATGAAATGGAATTTTGATGGACAGGACAGTTTTGAAGATTTTGTGGTACGAATTGGAGGATATGCACGTACATGAGGAGTAGGAGAAATATGTTTCAAAAATACATTATTTCAATCCTTCCGCCCTCCTTGCTCATTTCAACAAGCCATAGAAGCCCAATCTGTAAGCATAGATTCCAAGAAAACTGCCATAAAGGAAAAAATACACACCATAGTCCCATCCTACTCAATTGTCCAATTCACGCTAGACCAAACAGCCAGTTTAATCCTGAAACATCCAAACCCTCACCAAACCTGCATCCTACTCCAAATCAACCTCATCGAATATATCAACAACTTCTCATTCCCATCTCTAATCACTCCATCCAATCTAGACTCTGCAACCGAACTCCTCCTTCAAAGACTAGAAGAACTTCACAGAGCTGTTGATGGCGCACTCCAAACCTTAGATCTTCTCCTCCAACCAAACTAGACTCCTCCGAATACCCTGGACTACTCCTACCAATCTTTCTCTGACCTATTCCTACTCCTACCAAAATCCTCTCCCATGAGATCCCTCCTACTTATCCTCCTCATCTCCCTAGGGTCGTCAACTCTCATATTCGTCCTTTTGCTGGTTCTCCTAATTTATTTAATGGTCAGAGGGAATAAAATCCTCAATAGAAGTAATACTCCCAGAGTAGTAAATCTAGCCCTTCAAGGACTCCCTAACTCTAATCTGACTTCTTCAGCCCCTCTTTTAAGACTTCAAAATGTTTCAGCATGATACACTTGAAACACAACACTTGAAACACAACACTTGAAACACAACACTTGAAACACAACACTTGAAACACAACACTTGAAACACAACACTTGAAACCAACACTTGAAACCAACACTTGAAACCAACACTTGAAACCAACACTTAAAACCAACACTTAAAACCCAACACTCAAAAAACACAACACTTAAAAACAACTACACAACACAACAAACCTTGCAAAGAAAAAGAGGTCAAAGAGAAAGTGGGAGTTCATATATAAGCACCGTTCCGGCCCCCCAGATCCAAAACTGTAAAGCAGATCTACTTCTGAGCATTCCTAAATTGAAAAAAATACATTGACGAACATCCAAAAAGTAAAGGTTTTTATGGTATTTGTTTTTCAAGTTTGAATTCTCATTTTCTTTTTTCCTTCTTTTTCCCAGTGAAGTTCTCAAAACTGATTAAAATAAACGAGACATTTTTAACTCAGGATAAACTTTTGGTATCTTTGCCCTGGAAACAATTTTAAATTTTAACGTTCCTTTTAGCAGAGATTTAGTATTGTTAAATGCACGAGGCCTATTAATTTACCTGGCAGTAAGGGACTCTCGGGAACCTCTGAGGCTGCTCTTCCAGGCCAAGGTTCTCACTCCTCATCGCCAGGGTAGGCAGGGGGAGGGCGTAGTCCATGATGACGGAGCTACTCACCCTCACCCCCTGGCCAGACGAAGAAACCTTGGTAGAGGCCCTGGGAGGAGCAGGAGGAGGCATATTGGAACCATCCCCAGCTGAGCTCGGAGCAGGAGGAGGCATCTTGGAACCATCCCCAGCTGAGCTCGGAGCTGGAGGAAGAACCCTTGAAACCTCCCCAACTGAGCTCGGAGCAGGTGGAGCTGGAAGAGGCATACTAACGGAGCCAGCGGAGCTCACAGAAGAGAAGTATTACAGTATTACCTTGCCTTGGACAAACCCCTCGCCTCGAGTCGAGGTAGGCTGCGAGGAGCTGTAGGGAGGGAGACTTCCAGCAGAACTATGACGAGGGCGAGGCAGAGTCCATCCGTCTCCCCCAAACCTGTCAAGCTCAGCCTGAAATATTTATGTGATTGATTGATTGACGAATCAGTTCTCAACAGATTGGTCAGTCGGTCTGACTGTCAATTTTTCAATTGGATGGATGACGAATCGGTCAATTAATTGATCAATTAATAATATTTGTGAACCGTTAATACAACATAAAAAAATCTCACCTGATCCAAGTTATACCAGTATTCTCCCCCTGACTCGCCCTGGAAGAACCTGCACAGGGTGACCGTGGCAAGTCAACTGGATGGCTCAAGGAATGCGGGATACAACACAGGCTCAATCCTCTAACAGTCCTGTACAGGACAAGGAAACAGCAGAGAATGATCGCCAAGACCCCGATGACTGCGGCCAACAGGAGAAGGTTGTACATAAGAACCTCCTGGTCCTTCTCGTCGAGAACATCTCCAACCCCCAGCTTCTGGAGCACCAGCCCGAACAGCTTAGTTCCCAGGTCATGCCTCTTGTGAGCCACAGGACCTCTGAGCCAATCTACAAAGAGATTCATTAAACAAAGATTAATTAAGGCAAAAAACAATCCCACAAGGAAGGTAGTAAATAGTTTGTTACTGGCCTAGTATCTTTCGGGTTATCATTTAATCTAGTTTAATTTCATTTAAATTCTTTACATGCTTAATGATTTATAAAGCTAAACGAGACTTTTGACAGCTAAGTCATTTTAATTAAAAGTTTTAAATCTGAACTTCTTTACTCTATTCATAATCTTTGATTGAGCAATTTAGATCAAAAAATTGTAACATAGAACTGGAAACTTTTGAACGATAATAAATCTTTAATTAAATCTTTTACCCAGATCAAAATCAAACAATATTTGTTTTCTTTATGTTATTAATTTACAATCCAATTACCCGATTAGGATTAAACTTCCTTCATTCATAAGTTTTCGGCTCAAAATTAATAAATATGTTTATTACCCTTAAATCCGTCTGTCTCTGGATCCGCCACCGGAACTACATCAAGAGGATACTTCTCCGGAGCCACGGTCGTAGACGAGTACCATTTCTGACTAGGATAATCTCCAATGATCATCTCGAAGAAGGAAGTCAATTTTCACATAGAATAGAAGAAGAAAGGAAGAAAGTTAAAGGATAGATCCTGTCTGGAAAGAAGGTAGAAGAAAAGTGCTGAGCAAACGTGTTGAAAAACGTTTGTCGGCCCCAGGAAACGGAAAGAGTATCAAAAAGTGCGTGGGCACTACCAGCGCCCTCCGCGAAAAGACATTCAGGGTTTCCGATATTTTTCTTAAAAATCTTTTTTCTTCTCAATATTTATTTCTTTCTTTTTATTCTTTTTAATGAAAATTTTGGAATTTTTTTTCTTCTGATTTTTTAAATTGAAAATTTTGGAAGGTTCTCAGCAACCAGGGTTTCCAATTCCGGTCAAGCCAGGGCTTCTGTTTAGAGATCAGTCCTGGAAGTTATCTGAATAAGAAGGACAAAGGGTGATACAGTATGAATTTATTAACATTTTCTCTTTTTCTAGGTTGTACAGGGATATTATATCTTCACAAAGAAACATCAAAATCTTTAAACTAGGAATATTAATCCCTTTTTACAATTCTTTATTCTATTCTGGAGAATCCACTTGGAAGAAGAAAGTACATTTTCGGAAAGATTGAAGAGAAATAATAAGGAATTTAAAAATGAATTGGAATGGTTTGATTGTATGTTGATATATTACTAAAAAAGATACTGCTTTTTTCTCTTATTTTAGAATTGGTCGGAGATGGATCAAAAATTCACCCCTGATTCATATGGTGGGATTGTGCTAGCAGAAGCCTATTTGATAAAAGGCAAGACTCAGGCAGTGGTTTGAGCTCGGCCTAGATTCAGCCTGAAAAAGTCAGTCACAGATTGCTGCCCTCGCTGAGCTAAGCTGCTAATGCCTACGCCCTACACCCCCTTGCCAAGCTCATCCCCGAATTCCATACCAAGCCTAAAATAGAGAAACCTTGATTTAATTTTAAACTATTAATAAATATTTGTGAAAAAAAGATGATAGTTGTCCCTTTATTCCTAATTGTTAGTAAAAGTCCCTGAGACAAAACCATTATTTTAAACCGCAAGAGTTTCAGTGTTTCTCCGCAACAAAATGGTGGAAAGGGCATTCCAGTGACAAGTGAGTGAAGTTCAACTCAACCCATTAATACATCCTCGTGATAAACACATGACAACTATCATCAGTTTAGCTTAATCATAAGTTTAGTTTAATCCTAGACGCCCAGAAATAACTTGGTGTCCCGCCTGTTCCCCCCCCCCCAATTTTCCTTTTCAGATACAAATCCCACTCCAAATCTAGAGAGACCGAAGACAGAAGAAAAAAGACTGGAAGCAGAAGAAGGAGCTACATCTGGGTCGATGTTTTCCCCGATATAAGAGGACTGGAAGCAGAAGAAGGAGCTACATCTGGGTCGATGTTTTCCCCAAATTCTGGGTCAACGCTTGTTTGCAACCCCCCCTTCCAGTTTATTCTGGGTCGACGCTTGTTTGCCACCCCCCTTCCAGTTTATTCTGGGTCAATGTTTGCCACCCCCTCACCTGTTATCTCCCTGACGTCTCTTCACCTCCTGTTGTCTTTGTTCTCTGTAAATATGCAGAATCTCATGTAAGTCAACCTCTTTCACTTCATACTAAACATTATCAATCTTTAGTTTTCAGGATTTGTGCATGTCTTATTCATAGGTTGTATTTCATAATATTTTTGAAATGTTTGATATTTGCATACAATGCCCGATGTTTGTTATGTTTGTCCAGATGATGTTTCCGATTCCCATCCTTCCTCCCCTTTTTCCTAACTCCACCTCCTAACTCTCTCTTTCTCTCCCCCCCCCCCTTCCTCTCAGTCTCAACTGTCTGTTGATAGATAGATATTCTGTGTCTAAATTCCTCCCGTCATGGTATAGCTTCAAGCTACACACTAACAGACAAAGATACCCGCTTTACGCAAACTGAGTTAAAAATTTCAAACTAGGTTAAAATCTTTCAGGCTCTGTGCGGTTACAATCACCCAGGAAAACCTACTTTGATCTAGTCATTGCTACCATTCAAACACTGACTCCTGAGAATGTTGATCTAGCCTGTTTTCTTTCCTGCTACAAGTTCAGAGGAGACCACCATGGCAACTTCGGCAACCTCAACGGTCACCCAGACTCAAGGTACATCTGGTCTCCAGGGCGCCTCCAGCCTCCCTCTTCCGGGACATCCGAGTCTTTCTAATGAGGTCATCTCAAAGCTTCTCTCTCTAACAGACCAGTCCAAAAGGCTACCTGCTCACTTTATCAAACCTCCTTCCTCTTTCAGACAGTGTCTTCTATGACCTCCGAGGATGAACTACGTCTCTCATCCCTGAGGAAAGATACAAAATCTTCTGCGACATTAGAATTCACACTCCGTTTCCTCAAAACTTTCTGCGAGGCTCGACCCCACATCAGTGAGAAATCCATCCTTGATGTCCTCCACACATTTCTCCCACTCAACACTTACATACGAATGAAGCGAGACGCAAGCCTCCACCTGGTGTATTCCTACTTGCAAACTCACTTTGGGAATGTACGCAGCAGAGCCGAGGTTTTCTAGTCCCTCTCCATATTAACCTCCTCCATTGGAGACCTAGAGCCCATGCAAGTATTGGATAGGATCAGTAAGCTTCTTCTGCAAGTCTCTGAATCGGAGGAAGAGTGCGAGATGGCTGCTCTGAGAGACTCTCTCTCATATCATCGATTACTTTTGGGTCATGATACATTATAAACCCTCAAGATGTAATAACACTTAGCATCATGAGGACCACAACTTCAATAAACCTGCGGAACACTTGGCATCATGCGGACCACAACTTCAATAAACCTGTGGAACACTTGGCATCATGGGGACCACAACTTCAATAAACCTGTGGAACATGTGGCATCATGCGGACCACAACTTCAAGAAACCTGCGGAACACTTGGCATCATGCGGCCCACAACTTCAATAAACCCGTGGAACACTTGGCATCATGCGGACCACAACTTCAATAATTCTGAAGAACACTTGGCATTATGCGGACCACAACTTCAATAAACCTGCGGAACACTTGACATTTTGCGGACCACAACTTCAATAAACCTGCGGAACACTTGGCATCATGCGGACCACAACTTTAATCAACCTGCGGAACAATTGGCATCATGCAGACCACAACTTCAAGAAACCTGTGGAACACTTGGCATCATGCGGACCACAACTGCAATAAACCCGCGGAACAATTGGCATCATGTGGACCATAACTTTAATAAACCTGCAGAACAATTGGCATCATGCAGACCACATCTTCAATAAACCTGCGGAACACTTGGCATCATGCAGACCACAACTTCAATAAGGAACAATTGGCATTTTGCTCATTTTGCGGACCACAACTTCAAGAAACCTGCGGAACACTTGGCATTTTGCGGACCACAACTTCAAGAAACCTGCGGACCACTGCCACTGTTGAAATTATGGCTTTTTTCGCGTATTTTCGTCAAAATCGACCAAAGTTAATTTTTTTAAAAATTTTTCGACGCCCTGGAAAAACTTTAAAGGCCATTTATGATAGCAGAAGATCTTGGAGAATACGATTCCAGCTTTTAAATTATCAAAATCAACCTCCAAGTGATGAAAAAATTTTTAATTTAAATTTAAAAAATTTAAATTTTTTTTCTGAAAATGTCGATTTTTCACAAATATTTTCACGGAAGAGCCCATAACTCGGTCATTTTTCAACATTTGTGGAAGGACGCGATGACATTTGGAGAACTGAAAACCATTTTCAGGACAAACAATTATACCAATAGGCAAATGTGGAAAACGTTAGAAAAAAAATGGAAGACGGTTAGGAATCTCCTACAGGGTACAGAAAACAATTTTAAATTAAAAGGAGACCGCAAAAATAACAAAAGACTAATTCAACTAGTTCGAAAACGTGATAAAACATTTTTACCTTGAATTGAATTGTGAAGTACAGTACATTGTGAAGTGCAGTGCATCTTAACATCTCTTTTCTGTAATTATAAAAAAAAAGTAAAATCGAGTTGTAGGCATGTCCATACAAAATGTAAAATGTATAATATGAAGTGCAGTACATCTTAAAATCTTTTTTTTGTAATTATAAAATGTTAATAGTTGTAGGCATATCCACATAAAAAGAAAATTAAATTACTATTGTATTTTAATAAATCTGTTCATATTGTTCATTCTGTATTACATTTTTATTTTTATAAATGATAATCGAAGTTTTCTATTCCAGTGGGATAATTTGTTTCTGGATAAACAAAAGCTGTTGATCTATAAATAGGAGGAGGAATAGGTGGATGGGAATGACTTTCTGTTGGTTTGTCGTCCTTTTTTGTCTTCTTTTGTGTAGTATTTACAGGAATAATACAAAAAAATAAATGAATAAGGAGAATATAAAACGAAAAGAAGAGAGTTACACTGAATAAAATGAAAAACTGAGTTAAGTCATACTGTCTGTTTCTGCTTGCTTCTGTCTTGGTCTCTTGTCTAATAAAACATCACTTTGATCAATTTTTCCCTTCCTGGTTACTCACACACATCATACACACACGTCTTACACAAACGAACGTATTAACATTTACAACCTAACACAGTTCTTATAGATGATTTTACGGAAACAATACACCAAAGCCCGACACTTTAACAATAAATTATTAACCGGATTTTAGAATAGAAATAGGCAGTTTTGTGGGAATCAGTATTTTTGATTACAGACCATTGAGACGTTAGACCACTATAAATACCTTGAGTGTTTCTTTTCTACAGTACTTTTTTTTCTTTATGACTCAGAGCGTACATAACTACACCATTTCCTTAATTATAATTTCTTTTTAAATCCCTTACCTTCGAGTACTTTCAAGATTCTGATTGGATGGGTTTTCCGGATCCTCCTCATGGGCTTCAGAAAGATCTGACATATCTAGCGCGTCTAAAAAGATTATGTATATATTTCAAATTTTAGTTGGCGGGGTTACCATCTTGAAAATTTTCTTTTAGTTATTTTTTAAAAACTTTAAGAGATAATTATATTTATGAGCTTTTATTTTTACAAATAATAAGGCTTGTAAATACCTGAAACCGTGCTAGATAGCATGGTATAGTAGATGCTATGCATAACTCCTGTCTTCTTCATACTCCTAAAGAGACGCCATCTACTAATCCAAGAGAAAATAGACACCAAAAGTCTAATCCCAAAATACACACAAAAACCAATTATTGGTAGTAACTGATCAAATATTTGGGAGTTGGGAAGACTAGGACTTGAGATAAAATCAGTAGAACTTGATAGAGTAGAAGGCTCGGTTGTAGGATCAAATTTGGTTTGATTTAAAAACTCGGAATATTTGTCAAGCAATTCTTTTGCGGACATGATTACTTAAACTAAACTTATATTTATAGGAGTTCCAAAAAAGTAAACTTTTATTCTGCATGTAAACTGGTTTTTAAAAAATAAATATCAACTAGAAATAATTAACACTGTTGTGTTACAACATATCTGTACACTAATGATAGACCAGTCCTACAATAAATCCTAGATTTGTACACTAAATAAACCTGCCGTACTGCAATACACAATGAACTAATAACCAATAAATCAATCAATAAATAAATTAATATCAATCAATGTAAATTATTAAAGTAATTCTTTAAAAAAAAAAAAAAAAAAAGTATATTTTTAATTTAGATTTTTTCATTTTTTTTTTTTATTAATAAGTTCATATATTACAGCGGTGCAATGGAATCTAGTGGATCTTTTCTCTGTGCTCTGTATGAATGGAAGGAAAACTCTGCCCTAAAGAACTTCTTAATCAAAAAGTCTAAGCAAAAACTTTTAAATATTTTATCTCTGCACTCAATTTTGACCATTTTGTCAAACTATATAAAGGAAGAAGAACTATATGATCCTTCCAACCCATACATGATAATACTGCCAGATACACATGATTTAAAAAGAATCTTTAAGAAAGATATAATTGCTGTCATGGATTTGAAGGATTACATATTAAATGAAGTGAGATACTATGGCAGTACAAGATCATTTACCTCTTTGCGAGAAACTTTATATCAAACAAAAGCAAACATGCCAATTGTTCCGGTTTCTGGAGAATTAGAAAGGATAGAAAGAGCCAATACTAAGATTTCACAGTATTCAAACATCAATGTTAGAGTGGAACTAGACTCGAATCTTTTCAAAGTCTTGCAAGATACCTTTGGAACGTCAATTCATCAAAATATATTCAAATTTCATGAGATTAAAGATTATTTCTTCAAACTTTTATGTTTATTTGGTTTGCAAACAGACCGTACACATGTGTCGACAATGGGGACAATTCTGAGACAATTCACGAAAATAAACCATCTTCACATGTCCCAATATTTACCGTTGCTTGCTTCACTATCTACAGAAATAAACCCCATTGACCTGAAGTCATTTCCAAGACGTCTAAAGAGACTACTGCAAAATTCGTCAATTGAGTTGCAAATATAACGAAGACACATAAATCCAGAATATTATTTAAGCATAAGGTCATCCAATCCGAATACTGCTCCCTTGTCTCTGAATTTATCCGAATATAACTTTCAATCAGGCTGGAAAATAAGTCCCTTGGACAGTTCATCCGACTCTGAAGCGAATGATTCACCAATTCGACCAACTGTTTATGTCCCGTCATCAAACGAATATGTGTCGGAGACAGAACTCGAAATTTTTTTAAGTGAAACAGAACTCTTTGAAAACGACCAACACCAGATAGTTTCATCAAGTTCGGATTCGGAAGAAATTTTTCTGGGAACAATCAATCCGGTTCAAATTGAAAGTGACAAATCATGTAATTTTGCGGATGTTGAACAAACTTCAACTGAATGTTCAAAACAAAACTTTGTAACAAAATATTGTATTAATTGTAAACAAGAACTAACAATTTTACCTCTATGCAGAAAGTGTTACCACAAAAAAATTATTAATTTTCCGAAACGAAAACTAAACAGAAAAAATAAGAAAAAAATACCTTTTATAAACCTTAAAATTGCGGATATCTCTGAAACCAACGAGCTAAACATGTGTAACATATGTTATATTAGGGAGAATACACATGGTGTCATGCACGGTAATCTAGCACACCGTGTGGGATGCCACGATTGTGTTAAGAAAATAAAAACAGGATTCGGTAGATGTCCTATGTGCAGAAGAAGTATTGATAAAATTGTAAAAATAATATAGTTTTGTTATATATTGTACATCACTTTATTAATCAACATCGAAAATTTTCACTTGTACTTAAATAAATCTGTAAAATATTCAAATTTCTAATTTTAGTTCTGGATATCAGTGACCCTTTCGTTTTTATCAACATGCCCTATAAAGAAGATATTTTACTCCTGGGTTCCTCTCTTTGCAACCAAGTTTCAAGATATATTCAAAAATCAGGGCTGAATATTGACTCCATTTTATTTAAAGGAAACATTTCATTAGAATATATAAAAAACAAATTAATTCAAAATAATAGGTCTTATAAAAAAATCTTTTTCATTTCCGGGAATAATTTGTACCCTTCAAAATTGCATAGAACTCATAGGGGTTCCCATGTATGCCTAAAACCTTTTTCACTACAAGAATGCATTAATATTTATCAAGATTTATTAGAAATTCTGGAACCATTTACAGATCATTTGATATTTTTGGAACCCCCCCCTCGAGCCATCAAAAAAATTGAAATCTCTGATAACTGCTTATTTTTCGATGCTGAATGCAAAAATAGATTCCGCACTGTAATAAATAGCCTTTCTAGAAAAATCAATGTGGGAGTTTTAATTTGTTCTACAATTCTTGGTTTTTTAGGAAGGAAAGATTTGGAAAGCCTCTTATCTACGGACAATATTCACTTAAGTACGTTAGCGCTTCAAACTGTTGTACAACAGGTGATCAATAACTAATCTTAGTCAGAAATAACATAATAGACATGCTTTTAACAATATTTTTCCTTTTAACTTTTAACAGTGCTTTCCAAAGCTTTCCTACCTTCCATCGGGGTGACCCAGTGTCAATTTATAAAACGATTTCAAAATATCAACAATCTTTTTCAGTCGATTTTTTAAACAAAACTGACGACCTGGTTACTTTAAAAAATTCCCTCAAACTGTTAGTTTCACCAGAAAACGATGAAATATATATAAAACCACTTTTTTCTTTGCTGAACTGGATAAAGAATTATTTTGTAAAGATAACAACGTTACAAACAAAACCGGCCTATGTATATGAAAAAGAGTCAATTGTACAGATTAAAATTTTTGAAACATTAAAAAATATTATAACAAACTTTTCTGGAATAAGAAGTAGAAGACAAGGTGCAACAAATATTATTATATCGATTGGGAAGGATAATGAGTACATAAAAATGACCGAAGTTCCGGGTTGCTCCCCTGAATTGTATGGTAGGAACAAAATTGCTTGTTTAAAAAAATTCTTAAATTTGGTCAAAACTCCAATTTCTAAATATATTGGAACTGATCTCTTAAACCCGTTAATTAATATATTAAACAGGCCTATTTCCATTGCAACAACGTCAAATATACAGGAAATCGGACAAATCTTTAACCTTAGATTGCAAGGACCAAACTATCGTGAAGAACTTTTAAATAAATTGATTGGTATAAGAGAAAACATTCCAACTAATGAATATACTGGTTTAATAAAAAATATAAATGACCAAACTGTTGATACATTTCCGAACACAGAATCTGATGATAATGGAGTAAGTTTATTGCAGATATTAACCGAGGTAAGTCAAAATGAAGCCGACATTCGTAAGCTTCAAAACCAAGTTTCAGATACCGATTTTAATGAACAAAAACAAAAATTGATTCAATTAGAAAATAGTCTTTCTGAACTTACAAATAGGTTGGATACAGTAAGACAAGCAGATTTAAACTTAAAAATACTTTCGGAAATCAGCGAGAATGAAGGCGACATTCAG